CTATCAAAAAAGAAAACAGGAAATACCTAGAACCTTGATCTTTCCTCACGGAAAACGATCAAGATAAAACGGTATTTCGGGGATGGTTAGCCTCTCACTGTCTTTAAGCGAGCGCAAAGAGTGCCCCAGAAAACCGCGAACGATATAGCTCTGCGGTGGGGTTCTTTGACCCGTGCCGGTTGGGAAAGAAGCGTATCATCTTGCGACATGAAATCCAAGATGATTGATTCTTCCAGACTAGCTGAGGGCCAGAGAGAAGAAATGGCGAAGCAGCATGGATGCAATGTTCCATCATGTCACAAAACACATCTTCAACAAGTGCCACATACCTCAATAGATTGACGCGACGGCAAGGTGAGGAAAGAGAGCAGAGGAGGCTTGCAGCGGTGATGATGGATGTTCTTTTAGAGATTTTCACTGACGTTTCCAATCCTTGCCCGATTTGGAAGACTAGGGCTTGCCTAGTGCACGGTCTTGGCATTTCATCTAATCTTATCTGATCTATGAGCATAGAGGTTGTTAGTTGCGACAGACTTGGGTTAGATTGATCAACTGGCCCAGTGGTAAGGCGTCCGTTTTACACCTATTGTGTGCACGGAAGATCGTAGGTTCGAGCCCTGCGTTGATCATTTCTCTTTTTTTTTTTTTTTTCTTTCGTCCGCCCTTACCTTCTTCCACGGTCCTACCAAGCGGGCACTAAGCTCGATCGGGGCTAGTGTTCCATGGGATTGAACTCAGACAGCAGACAACCTTATTAAACCTTTGCTCAACGTCTTTACATCAACTTTTGAACAAACAGAGTCATCGAGTCTCGGACCACCCGTCCCATTTGCTTACCAACTGACTTCAATGAAGTCTCGTTTTGTTGGTCTGGGCCAGCGCAGTAAGCATGGTCACATATCCATATGCTGCTTATGCCCAGTGGCGTTCTCCCAATGGCCCTCTCCGTTCGTCTTCCTCACGCAAATCATGGCAAATGAAAACTTCTCGGTACTGGAGCCATGATGTACTTATCCACTATTGCAAGTCCGTCGCATCGGAGACTGGATGCATTTTTTATGGCTGCTGGTAGTGGCATGAATTGCAGGGACTTGACCTATCGGATTCGTTTCTGGTGCAGATTTCTGCAGCTTAGCGAGACTGTCTCAGAAACATTTCTCAGACCTGTCATCTCTATTACTTAGACCTATCAGCCCATACTACCATTGCTGCTCTGCATGTTGTCGCTTCAAGTCAGCACTAGTTACCTTGCAAAGTCATGTACCTTTTCCACGCCAAAGCGAAGTGCAACTCTATGGCAACTCTACCTACTTTCAATCACTATTGCGATGCAAATTGAGGGAATGCCATGGAACCAAGCCCAAAATCGCCCTCAACGCAGATACATATGGGTATATGGCCAAAACAACGATGAAGTCGGCTCCATTCTACGAGTCGGTGTCTTTAAATGGGTGAGCACTAGCGTCTCTCTATCGCAGGTACATGATAGGTCTAAGTAATAGAGGTGACAGGTTCAAGAAATGTTTAGGAGGCTGACTCGGGGTTGAAGTCTAGATGCTTTCGAGGGCTCAAACAGTGACTACTTCTGTCACAGCCAGCAAGTAGACACCAATAAGAGTGCACATTGCAAGGGCTCAACATGGCATGAGTTGTCCAGCCACGTTCGCCTCGTTCTTACGGACTGCGATGGATTTGCGCTAGGTCACGCTAACGACAAAGGCGTCTTCATCCCTTGCATCAAGGGCGTCTCATTTTGGAGGCTTTGGCTAGAGTTTTAAACTTTCTGCCTCTAAGAAAGCCATGTCTCAAACACAACATCATGAGCAATCGGCACCATTGCTAGCACTCCATTTACACCAACAATGAGGGAGTCGCATATTCACTCTCATCTCTAAAGCACTCTCTGAGGCTCCAGAAATCCCCCAAGTGCCATTCTGTACGTTCAAATATGGAATTGGGAGATGGTATTCCCAACCGCAGCCATCCCTGATCAATTCATGAGGGAGACAATTGCAGAGAAGCAAAGAACTCATGGAGAGTGTCTCAGCAAGCCACAATCTTCTGTTCAATACCAGATTCAATTGATGCGATTGATCTACAATAGAGTTGCATCACGCTTATGGTTCTTATCCGCGAAGAAAAGTCACAAGGCCAGGTTCAACAAATACGAGATAAGGTCCAAATCATGATTCCGACAGCAGGTAGCAGGGCGGGCATCAATTGGGAGATTCTGAGTATAAAAGGCATCAATGAAGCTCATCTCTGAGCCCGAAGATAGACTACATCAACCCGTCTGCATCAAACGAGCGAGTCATCCTGTTTCCGCGGCGGCTTTCATCTGTCTTCAATTTTCCCCCAGCTTCTACGAAGATATCAGACCATCATGTTCAAAGGTCGTTCCATTTTTGCTCTAGCAACAGCTTTACTCGCTACGAGCGCGCAATGCCTGCAAGCCAGCTATGAAGAGCACATCAGTGCTCTAGCGTACGGCGATGTGACTCCAGCAAACGCCTCCGAGGGCATTGTGTGGCTCAACATCACCGGTTTCGCGCCTGAGAAACTCCCACATGTCCAGAACGATCAGGGAATCCACACCTTGGACAACTTTGAGACGCTTAAAGATATTGCTGGCCTTGCTCAGACCGCAGCGACCAATGGCCAATACGGAGATCTCATTTTCCTGCACAGCGCTTTTCAAATGAACGGTTACCATGAATATCTTAACACTTCGAGTGCGAATATGCAAGAAGCCCTTCTGGACGCAATCACCGATGAAGCCAGCGGCGAGGTCGACCAATCGCTCGCTGACCTTTACGCCAGCACTTCAAGCTCCAAGGAATTGGCTGATGCATTCAAGACTTTGAAAGCAGCGAATGGAGATCAGCTAAGGAAGCGCTGGTACAAAGAAACATGCTCAAAAGCGCATAAAGCAGCCACGAACGCTTGCCGCCATCTCCTCAACAACGTCTCAGTCAACGCTACGTGGAAGGCCGGTGGTCCTCGCAATATTTGCAAATATGGCTGCTGTATCAGCTGGAGTGCGAATGCCACCTTCCAGGTGAAGAATCTCACCAACGCTGCGCAGTACTGCATCAATCTGTGCGGTGGGGGTAATGTCAGCTGCGAGATTTTCGGTGTCAACTTGCAAGGAACCGTTGTGAATCAATGTTTGAGCAACAGAGCAAATGGCTGCGAGTGAGTGGTGAGCCATCAACTCAAATGTTCGTCTTAGGACGTGGGAAAGCGTGGAGGGCAAATTTCATCTAGTGCGCGTTTGTGGTGGGTTTGGTGACGCTTGTTGCAAATGTGGTTCCCAAGATAGCGCTATAGTACAGCAATGCTAGTACAGATATTTGATTATGCATCATACCCCTGAGTATCTTAGGGGATATTGGGAAACTTCCCGGACGATCATATCTCAAAATACCCTTTCCAACAGTGATTACTCCGTATTTTATCGAGTATGTATAGATGGTAGCGTAGCGGAGTGCTCGATCGACCGATGTAAGATTGGATTGCAGAGAGCGCCTGAATCTAAGGAGTACTAAGGTACATTTTCGTACCGTACTCCGTAGATGTGGTGAGGCCAGTGGCTTAAGCCCATAACTCATTCCTTGAACCGAGCCGCCTATGTATAGACTACTTAAGGACAGATAAGCCCAGCTCAACTGTCGCTTCAGTTCTTCGCTCTTTGCTCGCCTCACTACAGAGTACACTTGTCGTGATGCTCTCAACTGCGCTTCGAATAGCCTTAAAAGGCTTGCCCTCTTGGGCCTTGAATACCTTACTTAGCCCACAAGGGGACCAAATCCTCCTGAGCCAGGTTGACGAAGTTCTATTCCCCACGAACTTGCAGAGAGACTTTACAGTCTTTCGCACATTCGCCATGCTGAGCCACATTTTCCTTCTTGGTCTTGTAGGTGATTGATTCAAGGCCAATGGCATGAACATCACTAATACATTGTCGAGAGCGATCTCAAAGATTCGTTACCTTCTTGGCCACACAGTAGCATCACTCTTGATCATTGAGATCGCTCGAAAAGATGAGGGCTTAGCAAACGACGAGAACGAGATCAAAAGACGTCCTCTGACGTTCCGTTCGATCTTCAAGGCTGTTCGCGTGATACGCCTGACTCAGGGCCTCCTGGCGGTATTCTATACCTTCGTGATGGCCGTTGTCTATAGTGCTTCACACAGTATGCTCTATCATATGTTGGGGTCTTACGTCTTCAGACACCAACTATTGACACCAATTGCATACGCCTGCTCGTCTGTCCTCCTGTCCAAACTACACTTGGCTTGGACCATTACGACCATCTCAGCACATCAACCTAAGCTCCGTGCTTCAATGACCATGGCAAACCAAGTAACGTGGAGGGAATTGGCAATACCCAATTTGTTATACGGGATGTGTCAGGGCTTCTTGTACTTAGCGCAAGGTCTGGTGAAGGGAACGGCATCTTTCCCCTCTGAGGACATGCCAATTGAAACCCTCACAAGAAACCGCGCCGGAAACCAGGTCCTGGAGGTGGTATTGATGCTTGCATTCCGTATTTTATGGCTCTTACCGGCATCTATAGCTCGCACTCGGACTGAAGCAAGGCTTTTACCAGCTAATTTGGAAACGATGATTCCATCCCCGACAAAGAAACGTGGAGCAACGATCTCAGAGCTTTTCGGGAGAAGCAAGGGGTCTGTGGGATTTGCTGCGGTCAGCAGTGCGTTGAAAGGGTTTGGAGTGCCCCAATACATGTGGCTGATTGAATTGCATCTGAAGAAGAGCTTTATACACATAGTGATGGGTATTATCACTTGGCCAATGGTTCTTTATGCTATGCTGTCATGATCAATCCAACGATATCATGTTGAAGCACGCAGAAAGAGTTGAGTGGTTCATAAGAGCGTTGATCATCATGACTAGGCTGGAGGAAAATGATCTGAGAACATACGTCAGGATGCACAAACTTTAAGGTTCAGTATGGACTATGAAAGCCCTGGTCTGAGCGGCCGTCGATCAGGAGAAAGAATGACTGTATTCGGCGAGAAGAGAATCATGTATACTTTATTAAACTTCGATGTACAATGGATGCAAGATAAAATAAAACGGAAGAAAGGACTCCTCAAAAAGTTGGTAAATAGCAAAGGGTCAGACAAGAGCACACTTCTGATAAGAATTGATGCAACATGAATGAATGACGGCTCGAGAAGACAATTGTAGCACGAAGTTCAAACGATACCATATCCAGATGATGTCAAAATGAAAATGAAAAGAAGAGGATAGAAGAAAAAAAAACTAACATAGGCATACCTAGGTGGTCTTCCATATCTGAGAAAAGAGCGAGGAGATGGTTTTTGTTTTTGTGCAGGGGGTATGTGAAATGTGGAGGTGACGCTTGTACATAAGAGTCGATTTTGTGTGTTTTCATAGGAAGAAGAACCGATGCAAGCGACGGCGTGCCATCTGACAGAGAGCCATCCGATGTTTCGAGATTCTGGGAACGGCAATATCAGCATGAAGACTGAGTTGCTTGGATCGTCCCTCGTGACACTTAGCCCACGACCACGACCGTCAGCGTGCTGACATGTGTCGAACTCTCGTCGTGCTAGGGTAACTTCCTTCTCCTTCTCA